TAATTTCTGAAAAATTTACCATATTAAGAAATAGAAAAATATAAATTAAAATTTACAAATTTATTGGTTCATTTGCAATTTAGAATAAATAAGTTTAATTTTTTTTTTCAATATTAAATATTGAAAATCTAGATATAATATATAATTTTAAGAATTAAAATTTTTGCAAAATAGGTCAAGGTGACTCTTGGCATGCATACAATAAATTATTATAAAGTTCAAAATTATACACTTTATACATTATCTTATTTAATTGATGTAACCTGAAGTCATTCGTGAGATTATCTGACATTTTAAATAACTCAATTTATAAAAATTAATGATGATTCTTCATCATATATCAGAGAAAAAATTAATTTTTCATTATGACAATAAATAAATACTATTGTGGAATTATGTATTATAATATAAAAACATTTAAAAAAGCGTGAATAAATTTAAAATATAACAGGAATTATTTACCTGGAAGTCTATCGACAGTTGATATCCTTGAAATCCTATCCTATAAAATCATATTAAGAGGCTATGACGCCAAAAGCCAAATTAATAAAATGTCAAGGATGTGCATAATAACTTTTGTTTGCTTATTGTTATTCTTATATACATAATAGGAATGATAGCATTTGTTATCTCAACTGAATATAAGAACATATGAGACATTCAATTTATGTTAGAAATTATTTAGATAAGTGTCATAGAACTACCATTTAAGCATTTTGAGAATCTAAAGAAAAAAATTATGTCATTGAAACACATTCACATGAATGCATTTGAAAGAATGTAATGCACTAAGTATTTATTAAATTAGATTCTTTGAATGTACTTAAATAAATGAATTACAGCTTACTGCAAAAAAAAAATTAATTTTAAAATTTTGAAAACATAAATAATTTATTTATTAGAAAAAAAATTAATAATAATAAAATCTATAAGCTCACAACAAATTTAATTTTAAGTATTTTTTATTGTTAAATTATCATCATTAAATAATAATAATAATAATAATTTAAAAGTAATTCAGTAGTTCATATACTAATTAAGGTTAATATATATAATATATTAAATCTAATATAATGATAATTAATCAGACGTTCAATAAGTAAATCATTTTAAATTATTATATACTTTGTATTACAATAGATATTTGATGTATTATAAAGTTATATTTAATATAGATTAATATTTTTATGTATTTGATAATGGAAAACAAATTTAAAATAAGTAAATATTGTTTTTATTATTAAAATATAAATTAAAAAATATATTTTGGCAATGAAATAATAATTTTTCTTAAATTTTTATAAATCTTTTAAATATACTCTGATATATTTTATGTCTTAAGAAAGCTAACAGCAATCTAATGACTTCTATTACTTAATGTATGATACTTAATTGCCCTTTGTTTAATGTAGAAATTTATAATTACATGTGAATTTTTCCTATATTATATAAACAGTTATACATTTTTTATTTTGGATGAGAGTTTAATGACTAATACAGCTTCTTGTTACTATTTATGCAATAAATTAATAAATTATTTAATTATAATTATTAATCTTATACTTTGTAATGTATTTAAGAAAAAAAAATGTGATATTTATAAAATAATGAGGAACTTTCTCTCATACTGAACTTAATGAACTGAAAATGAGTAACTTCTAAAGTTAATTTTTTCCTCTTGGATTTTAATCTAACTCAAACAAATTTCATGATAAATAAATGAATATATTTATCCTAAAATATATAAATATTATTCTATTTATACTTACAAGAATATATATTTAAAAATTTGTTTTTAATCTTGTAAAGTATTTTAATTGTTAAGTTGTTTTTAATCTTGTAAAGTATTTTAAAAAAAAATATAAATGTCAAATCATTTTAACTAGAAATGATTGATGTTAAATTTCTCGTTTTCACTTTTATTCATGTTTTTAATATTATATTTATGAATAAAGTGAATAAAATTTTTAAGAAGTAGAACAGTTTTTGCATATGTTATTATAATTCTGTCTTATTAAATTATTAAAATTTTCTAGAATAAGTAACAAGATATATCAAGGAATTAAATGATTTTCAGTCTACAGTTTCGCAATTTGCATTTAAATCCACGTATAACATATTTAGATTCATAACGGTTTCAAAGAGTTTGATAAATAATAAAGTTGTTTTTATACTTGTAAAATTTATTTGAATAAGTTATATTAAAAAAAAATTCATTATTCTCTTCTTATTATTTAACGCTAGTATAAACATTATTGAATTACATTCTTGGAACTTGAAATGCAATATTTTTACAGGAAAAATTGAATGTATTACAAACGTTTTGAATCAAAATAAGTTAAGAAAATAAGCTTTGTATACGTATTTTACAATATTTCCTGATTGTGGAACGTCACTTTCTGTTTTAAAAAGTTTAATAATTTCATAATTTGTAAGTAGAACAACTTTTTCAAAGGAAAGAAAAAATTATTACAGGAAAATTTCAAATATTTTTCCTTTAGGTTAAAATAAATTAAGACATCGTTATGACTTATTAATGATTTTCAAATTTACTATATTTATCTTCCTATAATACACTAGAAGCTTAACTTTAACACGAAATGAAAGCATCTTGCAAAGTTCAAGAAGTATACATTTCATCAAAAATAGAATTCTAGTATAGTTAATTATTAATTATAAAACTAACTAGTGCATAATATTGATAGTATAAACTGCATTATTTTACATATAAACGATTATATTATCGGCATAGAATACGTACCTTTTAAAAGTTTTAACTTGACTTAACCATGATAACATTCATGGTGGGAATTAAGAAATATTCTGTTCTAGTAACCCATTTTTGACCACGATCGGCCATATTATACAATAAGACCAAGGCTCCTTTGTGGAAGAGTCTGACCTAATAATCTGCTTATTTTAATAATTTAATTTTGATTTTAATATAAACTATTCCACATTCTAATCAATAATTTCGTATTATATTCAAGAAACTTAAGTGACAATGCCCGGCATGCTCGAATATAATAAATGCATTTAAAGTAAAGATTATTTTATGTAGTTATATACCGAATTCACTTTTTCAAGGTTAAGTTTAAACTTACTTCAAGGATATTTAAGAATTATTAGCAAACTCTTTGATAAGATGAATGCGTGGTCCCGAATGACCCTGAACATTTAGTGAAGAACTTTTCTTGGAAAGTCGATGCATAATTAATAGTATAATTTTCAAATTTTACTAAGTCGAAGAAATGTTTTTTCATGTTTAATTTCTAAAATGTTTATTATTTTAATTAATTTTTCAATTTTGCTTTTTAAACTCACTATAGCTTATGCATTAAATTTCTTGCTTATGAAAACCAAGTTGTTAAACAATTTCAAATTTATTAATTTTCCTTAACAAAGAGGCATTATAAGATAATATACCGTACATTAAAAATTAATTTTCATTTCAGATATAGTTTATTTGATAGAATTTAAAATATGATTGTTCCATAGTAATTTCAAGAGTAATTTTTTTTAACTTAGTTCTAAAAAAAATGCCACTTAATTGTCTAATTTAACAGTCTGTCATCATCTTTAGTAATTGCTTTATGCGTCCATTCAACTTATAAAATTGTTATTAAATATTATCAATTAACAATCATTAAGCTTGTATCTTTATTTATTTAAAAGTATACAAATCTCTCTTTAAATATTTATATAGCTTTTGATATCAGTTGCAATATAAATAATGAAAATAAAATTAAAATTAAATCAAGAAACTTATACATTTTTGTAAATAAACATAAATAATATACATATCCTTTAACTTATGAATTGAAGAAAGCTAATTTTTATAATAAATATTTTAGATAATTAATTCTTTAGTAATGTTTAAAAGATAAACAACATCCATCTTACTGCGATACTCTTCATTTCTTGGCAACTGGGTGTAAGAACATCATCTAAGATAATAAAGAATGGGGTCGAGACCGAACTTCCCTGAAAAATCGAAGAACAAGAGATCGAATCCGGATTCCTGGGCAAAAAATGTCTAAGTCACTTGGTTCAACCACGAGTAACCTTGTCTAGTCGGAATAATTACAAATTACAGGGTAAGAAAATAAAACCCTTCACTACCGACGATACATTATAATTAGAACCATATTATACTATACACATCATATGATTTATAAAATTGTTTTTATTTATTAAAAACCCGCTTTTATCATTATATACAAATGCACGTTCGTTTGTATCTATTAATTCGAAGTTCATGCAATGCTACATTGTATTTCAGTTTTTTTTTTTCCTTTTTCCATCTAATTAACAAGTTAATTTGATGATAAACAATTTTTATAATTTTCTGAAATTTTATTAAAATTCTTGAAGTATAAATTCATTTCGTCTTTCATTTTAATCAAAGAATTTTAACAAGAATTCTTCTGATTGACAAATAAATTCTTGAGGATTCTGCTTAATTGCACATCATTATTTATAATTAATAAAGATTTATATTTAAACTTATGTACTGCACTTATTAAAATAATAATAATAATAATTCAGACTCATTTTAAAATCGAAGGTAATTCATCAGAAATGTCATCAACATCTCGGAAAAAAAAAAGCTAATTATTTAGACATCGCTCATTTGCACAACAGGAAAAAATCTTTAAATGCATAATCGTCCCAAACCGCTTTGTACGAACTATTTGCTATTTAAAAATGAACTCTTGGGTTATCAATCTCATAAACGACACTTCCTCGAGTAATCATTTGGTATTTTTTTTTTAAATATTTCAAAATTTCAAAATTAAAAAAATGAATAATTATCTAATTAAATACAAAACAGAGAGAAAAGATTTCGGGTTATTGTTCTCAATATTAAAAGTGCAACTGAATTAGTTCTACTTAAATTTTATTTTTTTTTTATCTTGACTGTAAATATCAACGCCGCTAGGTACAATAACAATATACACAATATGTAGGACAACAGTTATACTATAGCCACAAGGTTGTTCTCCATAAAACTGGATCTGTGGTATTTGGCTATCGAAACGGGAAGTGCAAGCGAAAGTATGCATATTGTAGCAATTTTGATTTTCCCTCTTTTCTTAGGGGAATTCTCAGAAGGGATTACTCGACCATTCCCTTTTGGTCCGAGACGCAGAATTTTACCAGGGCAAAGAGCTTCTGGGTGCGTAGATTGTGCCAATGAATTAAAACAGTGCGTTGAAAAATGTCTTCAGCAACACGACTGCTCCGAAATAGATATTAAAGGTAAGCCAAAAAAAATCCGCTTTGCAAATTTCTATATTATATAATAGGAAATTTTTCATAATATGGATGTTTCTAAATTATATTTTTAAAAATTTTCATTGAAATTTTTATCAGTGGTTTCTATGGATGTAAACAAATATATCATTTTAGTTACAGTTGAAACATATCAGAACCTGTTAGCAAAAAAAAAAAAAAATAAATCAAAAAATAGAATCACTTGACAAGAATATAAAAATATTCTTATAATATTCTTATCGTGTTATCTTGTTGACAATTTCTTCAAAAAAATTTCACATGAATTCCGTTATACTTTGATGGTGTTTCGATAGACATAGAATTGCTACTTTGCTCTATAAAGATTACTTTTAAAATGAATTTTAACGAGCTAATTTATAAATTTTAATGGTTTATTTCACGCATAAGCATATAATTTACAACAATTAGTTTATAAATATGTTTTTTATAGAGGGCTTTTGTCCAGTCGGTTCACCTCGTCCTGCTAAATGCGCAATCAGTTCTGTCCTTTCAGTTTGTGAAAGTGACTCAGATTGTCCTGGAACAAAAAAATGCTGCGAAAGTGGATGCTCGAAAGTATGTTCAAATGCTTTACCAGTGCCACCAGCACAAGAGTCCAGAAGATCATCGAAACGAATTTTGAGTAAACCATAAAAAATTTTTATACGAAATCTACATTATATATACTCAGGTTTATNGGATTGTGCCAATGAATTAAAACAGTGCGTTGAAAAATGTCTTCAGCAACACGACTGCTCCGAAATAGATATTAAAGGTAAGCCAAAAAAAATCCGCTTTGCAAATTTCTATATTATATAATAGGAAATTTTTCATAATATGGATGTTTCTAAATTATATTTTTAAAAATTTTCATTGAAATTTTTATCAGTGGTTTCTATGGATGTAAACAAATATATCATTTTAGTTACAGTTGAAACATATCAGAACCTGTTAGCAAAAAAAAAAAATAAATCAAAAAATAGAATCACTTGACAAGAATATAAAAATATTCTTATAATATTCTTATCGTGTTATCTTGTTGACAATTTCTTCAAAAAAATTTCACATGAATTCCGTTATACTTTGATGGTGTTTCGATAGACATAGAATTGCTACTTTGCTCTATAAAGATTACTTTTAAAATGAATTTTAACGAGCTAATTTATAAATTTTAATGGTTTATTTCACGCATAAGCATATAATTTACAACAATTAGTTTATAAATATGTTTTTTATAGAGGGCTTTTGTCCAGTCGGTTCACCTCGTCCTGCTAAATGCGCAATCAGTTCTGTCCTTTCAGTTTGTGAAAGTGACTCAGATTGTCCTGGAACAAAAAAATGCTGCGAAAGTGGATGCTCGAAAGTATGTTCAAATGCTTTACCAGTGCCACCAGCACAAGAGTCCAGAAGATCATCGAAACGAATTTTGAGTAAACCATAAAAAATTTTTATACGAAATCTACATTATATATACTCAGGTTTATATATACATATATTTTAATATTTTAAATACAAACTAATTAATATTATTTATCAAATAATCATATTTTTATACAGTTAATAAAATATAATACTTTATATAGATCTAATACGTTATTTGTTTTAATCAAATATTTTATGTATATTTTTATTATTAAAATATATAACTGTTATAGAATTGTTATGTTATAAATAAATATATTATAATCAATTTATTATTACTTTTTTTTTCTAAAATTTAATTTAAAATCTTAATTATTGACTTGTATTATTAATTAAAATTACGAAAATCAATAAAGTTATCTTACTATTCTTGGGGGTAAATGTACTGTACAGTACATCCGAATACAAAATACACTGCAATGAAATGAAATCAAAAATATTTCTTAAATTATATCGTAAAAGTAGTTATCAGACGTACGTAATGTAAAAAGATAAGATATGGAATTTCATCCTTCGGAGCCATTGTATCCATTGAAGTACTGATTACTCAGAGATTATTTAGCAATAAATCAAACCATAATTAAAATTTCAAAAGCATTTAAATCATCATTTTCATATTCTGTACACTCATTTGATTTCCATTTGTTTATCAGATTAAAACAAAGTAAATTTACTGCATTTATCCAGTTTATAATGGTTTCTTAGAATGAATTTTATCGTGGTAGCGAGTCAGGTCATCAGACGAGACGTTATTCTGATAACTTTTTCTGGTTTCCTTTGCCATTGTTCATTTAGTATTGACCATATGTACTGTACATTGTTAAATTAATAATATTCTATAAAATTATGTATTTTTATTAATTGACAGTATATAAATGGGCTTAAGAATGTGTACATACTGATAGATTTTTTTAATGTTAAATTTAAATAGCACAATCATAATTTGTTTGAACTTTTAAACTTTTTAAAATTTGGTATTAATAATTAATATATATGTAAACAATTAAGAAAATATTAATATAAACGCTTAAAACCAGTTTGAATACTGGATTTTAATATAAATACTTCGTTTTTTATAAAATATTTTATAAACAACGAAGTACTGTATTTGCATTCAAATCCAGTATTCAAACAGGTTTTAAGCGTTCATATTATACTAATATTTTCTTAATTGTTTACATATATATTTGAAAATATTTCAAACATTTTCGAAAGGACACTTTTCTCATTTTTTTTCTTTATTGCAGGAACTGAATATTTTTTCATAACCTTGATTTTTTGATTTATTTACAAAGTTGATTTTTGAACGAACCGAGTTGCATTTTCCTAAATATCTTCAGATCCGTTCATTGAAATTCAGCATAGCAACAAATAAAAATCTTCTACATTTTACAGATTAAAATATATATAGGCCTATAATATAAATAATAAATTATAAAATAAAATACTTTATATAAATATAATATACAAATTAATATAAGTGCAATGCGATACTGTAAATTACAAAAATATATAAAAATTAACTGGATATCATTAAATAAATGTGCTCCTACTAAGAAATTATACGGAAATTATATTTAAAAAAAGCAAAAAGTAATTTTTTAAAAACATTTTTCGTTCAATTATAAGAATTCTGAAGAAAAAGTAAAAATATTTTTTCAATACAATGGATTTGGTATCTCCATAGTCAATTTAGGCTTATCCATTCATTCAGGTATTCATTAATTGTGAAATATTGTAACTATTTATTACATCCTTGTAAAATAATTTTAAAAAAACTTTAATGCTAATAAATGGTAATAATGATATTAAAACAAAAAAGGTCATTTCTGGAATTCTTTCCAGTTGTGATATGTTCTGCTTTGATGACAAGATGGTCGAGTGGTAAAGGAGTTAGTCTGCTGTTTTTAGGGACCCAGGTTCTAGTCTGTTCAGCAATCTCGGTAATTTTCGTGGACGTTATGCCTCGGATATGTTGGGCCTTGCCTTTCACACTAAGAGGGCTTTTATACAGGCTTATCATGGCCCACAAGGAGACTACCAGGTCACCACCTGGTAGTCTCCTTGTGGGCCATGATAAGCCTGTATAAAAGCCCTCTTAGTGTCTGCAGAGTGGAAAGAATGAAGCCCAAAAAACTTATACTTTAAATTGAGAAATAAAAGATATGGCAGTACATTAAGCAATCAAATACTATATTTTATGAAAATATTAGCATAACGATTAAGAGTAAAAAAATTAAAATTATTTAAATTTATTCAAAATTTTCAAACATTTTAAAAATAAGCTTTTTTGTGCTTTGACTATTATTAACTTTTTACTATTATAAAAATTGAAAAAATTATTTTGTAAATTTAGAAATACGAAAGGTTAATTTAATATAACATTGTGTTTACTATTTACTTATTTATTACTTTTCATAAAATAAAACAGTCAAAATAAATCAAAAACAAATCCACTTTATTGAAATTATTAAACTAATTAAGAAAATATTATATAAGTAAAATATTATTGGAAAAATTAATAAGTATAAACTCACTTTTATTACTACTAATTCTATACTACTGTCAAATGATGTATATTATCAGTTAATAATTATTAAAATTTTTTAAAAATATATTACTTTAAATAAAATAAAAATATAAAGATCAGCATTGAAACTTATGAGAAAACACACAAGATATAAAAATAAAGCATTTTCGCCATTTTTTTCTCATTAAAACATTTCCATTAGGAATAACTGGAACGGAAACAAAGCTAGCAAAAATGGAATAGAACGAAGAACTCTTTGTACGATTATCTCATTTGCATAGAAATTACAGCGTATAAACTTTATTATATAATAATTATTTTTCCAGTTTACATCGGCCAGATGCCAGCGGTAAGATCTAATGTGATAGATGCAGAGATTCCAACCTGGATCCATCGGTTCTGTTGCCATTGGATCTGGATTCGAATTCGATGCAAATTTCCATAATTTAACATCGGCAGTATGGCTCCTCTATCTTCATCCATATTGGTAGACCCGCTGTGGAACAGGCCAGAATATAATGGCTATAAATGTAACCGACATACAGCAGACAATTTGCTGCTGCCTAGTGTCAATTAATTAGACAATGAATCTTTCAGTTTCCAAATATCATCCCTATACTGTTACACAAAGAACAGTTATGTAGATGATTATAAGCAAAAACATAAATAAAAACTTATCATTTAAATGTATTTTTCTTTTTATTGTCTTTTCCTGTCCTGTATATTTAAAATTAAGAGTTAAGAGGATCTTCAGACATGGGATTCCAGATAGTGAGAAACGGCACATCCAGATCAGATTACCCATAGAGAATTCCCAGCATCAGACTCGGACTAAAACTAACGTCTCTGAGAGTGTCTTATTGCTTTGATATTTGACCGGTCTATTTAAATGATACCATCAATCAATGTAGTGTCTACTCTACTAAATCTGCCGTTCAAGAGAATACGACATAGTGTAATAAATTTCATATAACTATAAATTTTAATTAATACACAGAAATTCTGTATATTCTATTTATAAAGTTAGAAAAATATTCAAATATAAACTTTAAAATACTTCAAAAATTATTCCAGAAATACAGAATGTAAATTAAAATTATATACTAACATTAAAAATAAGACCTTGATTATTTATAGATGAAATACAGTATTTTCATAATGAGTGTTAAAATATTTTTATTTGAAAAAAGAAATAATATTTTTGGATCATGTATTTTTAATAAATTTCTAAATTTTGAAAACTGAATAATTTTCAAGTGAAGTTTCAGCAAATTATTGTTAGTTATATGATTGGAATCGCACTTTCTTTCTTTATTAACACTTACCGCCCTGTGAGCGCTAAAAGGGCCTTTTCTAGCAAGTCCATTATGGGCTCGGCTAGGTCCATAATGGACAGAACTCGATATATCTAGACCGATCACCCTCCAAAAAGTTCTTGGTGATTTTGAACCGTCTGGATTCGATCCAGGGTCCCTCCAGAGTGGTAGGCTGCCTCATTAACCTCTCAGAGATCCAGCCGTCGTGGAATCGACCAATGAATGGATCTCACTTGCTATGAGATTAACCAGTGTAGATGGTAAAGAACAACAATCTGACTAAAATCAGAAAAATCCAGAGTAAATTCAAACCCGTATTAATCATAAGATAGATGACACCAGTCTAGGAAGCCAATAGACTTAACAACTTTTATCCATTCAATTCATAATTTTGTATATTGAATCGTTGTAATTTTTTCATTTAGATATACAAGATATACAGTATGTAGAAATAATTTTTCAAGTTTTTAATGAGATAATTCCAGAATTATAGAATATTAAAATTACGAAACTTTCTAAAAATTATACAATTATAACTAAAGATAATATATTATCATAATAGTCTACAGTAGTAAAAATTGCATGTCATAAATCCTATAAAAATGTGTTTATTCTTTAAATTAAAGTATCATTTTGCTTTTAACTGGGTTATTTATCATATATGTTATACTGTAGAACTACATTTCAAAATAATGAAATAATTCTTCACATATTTCAATGTAATACAATATACAGTATAAAATAATTAATTATTTATTTAATGTAAACAGTAATATTTTAACTAAAATTTGTTAATATTGTATACATCCTGCCTTTATTGGCAAAGCATTAACTCAACTAATTTGCAACACTGTTCTGCAGTTATTCCATTTCAAACTTTACTATAGCTTGCTGCTTTTACTCGGCTAGAGTTGAAGATCATAGATTTTGTACGTTCTCTTTCGTAAGTTTTTCAAATTTTCAAAAGGATTAAGATTAGGCCTGGCCAACCTAAAACCTTAATTCTATGCTCCATAACAAATCTTTGTTAACTGTGATGTAAAACTGGAGCCTGATCTTTTTGGAAAACAAAGTCATCATCACCGACAAGATTTTCGGTTCTATCGAGGGTATAAGATAGCATTCCAAAATCTAGAAGATTTCTGACTTCACGGGTGTATTTAGAAAACAGAGAAGGTCAACATCAATGCTCTAAAGCACCTCCATATCATGACACTTCAGATGTTTTATTAACCATTGAAAATAACTGAAATCACTAATTTCTCCAAATGATATAGTCTAGAGAATTTTGATTCATCTGAAAATAAAACACATTTTCAGTCTTCGTAATGTAATGTTTTTCTTTCTTTTATCACTGTAATCGTATTCAAGAGGAAAGTTTTGTTTTCGTGTACGTTCAATACGTAAGCTCAATGACCTGAAGTTAAGCATTTTTGTATCTCCAAAGAAGGACCAGGTTATTAATTGTACACAAGTATAGGCTCAAAACGTTGGAGATGGCCTGAAAAGGAGGATTGTATTCCATAAGAATGGGTAGACAATGTTTGAAAAATAAAACCTCCAAAAATGATTTCAAAATGGGATCAGTTTTCTGTTCCGGAGACTGAAAATCTGGTGTAATAACGCGTGCAGTCATATACACGATGAGTTATATACAACTAACTTAGTTTAACAATTTATTATAATATTTTTGAAAATTAATAAACTTTTTCGCGAAATTGTAGTTTTTGAACCATTTTGATTCCCAGCACTCCAAAGTTACGTTACATTTATTGCATTGTTAATTTCAAGCAATTATTATTGGATTAGTATCATCTCAAAGATGTATTACACTTAAATCAATGAAATATAACATTATAACATCAGGGAAAGTTACCATATCATAGGGTAACTTTGTCCCATACATTCAAAAACTTTTGGAGCCTTTAAAAGCTCGAAAAAACTTAAACAACTTACTTGCATGTATCCACTATTTCACGTTGAACACGAAAAACATTTTTCCGCAAATCAAAAAAGTTGCCGCAAAAATCAAATAGCTTACTCAAAATTTGTTCAAAATATAAAGGACGACAGACCAAAAGTTATTGCAATTTACGGTACGTCCGTTATACATGGAGAGGCAACAATTCCAATTTTGTTCCACAATTTACTTAATTTACTAACTGTTTTGAAGCAATTTTTAATAGAAAACTGCTGTAAGAGCATCAATACGCTGAACTATTTTACGTTTATAATTAGTTTATTTTCCCTCATCATTCTTATGCCACTTTTATATTTTCGAAACTGCACTCTGATCTTTAACGTTTTCGCCATTTGGAATTGTGTGTTCATAACATCTCTCATATCACATTTTGGCGACATTTTTACAGCATATTAACTATGTGAAATACTACTTTCTTTAAAAAGCCGCAAGCTAAAAAATTAATAAGAAATTTCGACCTAAATTTAAATATTTCGGTTAATACTTTATTACTTTGAAACGTGTTAAGAATTATTTCATTATTTTAAAATGTCTACGCAAATTTTAAACACTATTTACGTAAAATCTAATGGAATAATTTTTAGTACTTTTTATAAAAAAGGATAAAGATTAATCGTTTATTTCCTTTATTACATGTTTTGAATTCTTTATTAACTAATATATTATTAATACTTAAAATAACAAACGTGCTTTCATAATTACAATATTCCATTATTTCGAAATATAGACTTTTACATTTGATATATTAATTATAATTTTATCCATAAAATATTATTGCGATCGATTGCTATCTCGAAATTAAAATTTTAAGATAAAAGTCTATGTTTTTGTCCATTCAAGGTTACAATAACAGCAGTTATACCATTTTTGGTATTTTGGCAGAACGTTGTGGTCAATTTCGAAATGCATGCCTCGAGGGCTTACGCACATTAATAATATAACTGAACTATAGATGTAATCTGTGAAGATAACCCTACACAGTGTGAAAATGTGTGGGTTATCAGAAACCTTCAACGTTGATTCTATTTTGAATCTCATTTCTTACTTGGTAATAAACGAAAAAAATAGAATAAAATTATTCGAAAACTTACATTGCATCATCAATACACGAATAGCTTTTTTAACTTGTGCATAACGTAATTTAAACCTTCGATCTGAAGAAGAGAGATTTATTACTGGTTAAAGAAACAAACGTTATTTGTTTTTATAAATTATCAAAAATATTTAGGTCATATGTCAGGTGTTATAGGAACACTGATCTTTGCAACATTGCAATAAGAAACACTAACATCTTCATCGATATCATCTAATAAGTATCTAAATAATCAAGGATTTAGTTACTTATTAATGATTATGCATAGATTTTCTATAAGTAATTAAAATTATTTTTCATATTAAAACATATGTAACATTTCACTATTACATTCTTGAATAATTAAATTGAAACATATGTTGTGTAAATTAATATTGATGTTACTTAATTTAAAGATAATAAGTCGATTATTATATAATGTCGTATCGAAAACATTTTAATATAATACTTTACTTTAGATAAAATACAACATTTAGTAGCAGTAAAATGAAAAATACAGACACTACAAGTAACATCATAAGAATAACTCTATAGAAATATGAATACAGTAGCAATAAAGATTTTTAACTGAAAAATTATTTTTCTCGGGAAATCATACGGGAAATAACATAATATTAAATAAAATTAAATTACAACACACCATCGGGAATACGTAATAACCAATACAGAACCAATTACCGTTGTGAATTCACACCGGTAATTGGTGCTATGTTCGTTATTAAATAAAATTATATATATAATTAATAAGTAAAGATGTTAATACAAACAGGAAAAAACAAATATACTCGTATCTGAATACCTGTATTTAAAATAAATATTTATGTGTTTTCTCTTTTATAAATTTATTTTATAAAATTTGAAACATATTGATATAACGCGAGTTTATGTAAATCAATTTGTATTTCTATAATTAGAGAAGAAATACTAATATTTTGTATGGACTTAAAAACATAGAAAATAGAAATTGCATAACAACAGTATCGTTTTTCTAATCATATATCAATTTATATAAATTTACTAAACCGGAAAATTATTCGGTACCGTACCAGTCCGATATACACAGGTTTCACTGTTCATATTAATAATATTTAAATAAAAAAAATACAGCAGAATAAAGACGGATGTAAAGTAAAGCCTGGTGTCTATTGAGTGCACTTCATTGCGATAAGGATTAAAAAAATAAAATAAAATGTTTAAATATAAATAATTATTAGAACATTTAAACATCGGATTATTCAGAA